GCCACTCCACAACACAAGGGCCTAACCCCTCGGCTCGGGTCGCTTGCATTCCTCCTATGGAAAGGGCGCGGCGGCGCTGAAGTGGGGCTCACGCCGGCTCACGCGTTTTATCAGATAGTTAATTACGGGCGTGCCGAGCGCCACTAGTCTGATAATGACAAAAGGCAATGGCCGTCCGACCTGATCTTTCTACCGTTTTAAAAGTTAAACGTTTCCTGTAGTTCTTTTCACGTCAACGCAGCAAATTGTTTTTGAAAATACCTGGATCTTACGCTTAAAAATCCATCAAGTGTGAGAATTTTAATTCGTACACTTCTTCAGGTAAAGGCGTGGATTTTTTTCAGAGTTTCCCAAACTCCTTGCCCATACCACCTGGATGTTACAATTAAAAATCCATCAGGTGTGTGAATTTTAATTCGTACACTTCTTCGGGTAAAGGCGTGAATTTTTTTTCAGAGTTTCCCATACTCCTTGCACTTGGTTTTCCTGTGCAGGGTCTACTTTTAATTTCTCACGGAGTAACGTTTAGTCTCGTTAGCCGCCACCGCCGGGCAGGACAGTAACGATTAGAATATTATATGGACTAGAGTACATAGTATTGCTCGCCGCATTCGATCAGAGATGGGAGATCCCCTTTCCCAATCCTTGAAATGCACTGCTGGGGCTGCGCAATGCTTTCTCTATTGATATCGATACGGGCCGCGTCGCAACGCGCTACACACACTGGGGTGGTAGTGAAAGGACGCGCGCTTGTATGCGCGCGTGTGTGTGTATTGCAAACTCTAACTCTAGACGCGTCCCTAGATGAGTTCACTGATTTGTCAATTGTCCCAATAAGTAAAATAGTCGCTATTGCGATTCCCCATATATAATCTGTATTAGGTGCCCTATACTTGAAAACACGGCATAAACTGTGTTGTTATTGTGATATACCTGATTCCTCTCATGCCAAGCCTTGGGATTGCAGTAAATACACTAGATGGCGTGTCGTCTTGCCACGCTCGAGGAGCTGCAGTGGAGCGAGCAGTCAGGTCCATCGAGGGATGGGTATCGCTGATCTCGCCCCCGCGGGTCACAGACCGGGCTGGGTGCCGCCGCCGCTGCAGTGGCCATGCCGACTAGTGCCCCGCATGCAGGCCCATGCAGGCCCTTAGAGCCCGACTTAAGCTATAAAGATCACACGGGATATGACTGAGTTGTGGGTGGCGAGGAGAAAGCCCTGCCGGCCGCCCTGAGAGGGCGCTCCAGCCCGTGTTTTATACGCGCCGAGATGTTACGTATCGGACGTCCGTCATCGTCAGGGCAGCAGGGTGCGCCTGGCGGATTCTGGTGAGCTGTCTAGTATCGAAAATGATTTACGCGCGTTTTTTTCTTCCCCTCCTTGTCTCTTCTTGCCATCTTTCCTGGTTTCTGTTCATATTTTTCATTTTTCTTTGGCGAGCCACACCTCCGCGATAAGAGTAAATCCTCGAGCACTTTTGCCCGAATGTGGCTGATGACGACTTTTCTCCCCCTACCAGGAAGAGGTGTCTGTTGCTACATAGTCTGTCCCCGTGTGCTTTATTCGTTTCCTTTTATTTCTACCGCCACCGCTGCTGCTGCTGCCGCCGGTCGCCGCGCGCACGGCACGCCTCTAGGATCCTTACCAGCGGCGACTGCAGACAGACATTTATCGATAGCGCTATGCAAAGCGAGCGACAAGGCCATGTTGAGACGGGCGTGGCGGGGCGTGGCGGGGCGTGGCGGGGCGTGGCGGGGCGTGGCGGGGCGTGGCGACCGGCATGAGTGCACTACTCTGCCAAAAGCTGCCATCACTTTTCGTACTTTTATAATTTTTTTGCGATGTCTCTGCCTCTGCCTCTCCTCCGTTTCGGAGGCCGCCGCCGCCGCCGCTGTGGCACGCCGCTATCTCTCTTGCATCGCGCATTTTAGGAGTGACTCGTGTCGCGCCCGCTCGCGCTTCCCATGCGTGTTGTGTGTCCGCAGCACGCCGGCATGTGCATCTGTCACGTCTCTCGCCAACATTTTTGCTGCATTTATACCCCTTTCCCCCCTCCCTCCTGCAATGTTTTATTTGTCATGTTTTTTTTTCTTGTTGTTTTTTTTCCGCGTCTGGCGGGCGGCCGCGGCGGGAGAGTTCAAATGGGGCTGCGCGGCGATGGAGTCGCTCGGCGTCGAGCTTTGCTGCTCGGTTTTGTTTTTTTTACTCCAGTCCCCCTGCTCGTCACGACGATATGAACCCACCGAGGAAAGCACGCGGTGGCGGTGGCCTATGTGTGTGAGGAGAGGAGGGCGGGGGTGGGCTGGGTTACGCACTTGGAGGCGCTAAACTCCACTGCGTGGAACGCACTGCTTTCTCCGCACCACCGTAACGTTACGTTGTACACACGGCCCGCCGCCGCCGCTCTGCTACTGCTCTGCACGTGTTCTTGTTGCTGCCCGGCCAATTATGCATCATGGGGTTGTAAACGCGATTAGTTCCCATTGCGCGGCCCGCCACCCCGTGTTTCTTCTCTCTCTCTCTCTCTCTCTCTCTCTCT